AGACTGTTGCGGGGCGATACACTCGACGAAATAGTAACCGATATCTCATAGGTAAAACCAAACAGATTGTCTGGATTTTCGGGTACTCCATTCCTTAGGATTCCTCCATGAGCTTGGACTGACAAGCCTGTGATGGAAGAAGCCCATAAGCTGCAACGCATAAATGCAGTGACATTATGCACCCTTCCCAACATTGCTGCCCCTATTCTTGTCATGGGACTCAGCCTAGCCATGGTATTGAATGCCAACTAATGCAGCTTCATGCCGTAATAGTGGTTCATGGAGGGAAGCTTCTCTTCATCCTATTAGAAATAAGTGTGAATCACATGAGCGTCGATCCCCCAGAAAGAAGAAGGCATTACAAATTTTGGTGTGAGACTGTGAGCTGTCGCAAGTAGGAAAAAATACGGATCATCTCCATATCATTCATAGAAATGACAGCAAAGTCTGCGCCAAGACTCTTTTGTGCCACCCGGGAATGTGGTAGCGATGGCATAACTAATAATGGCATTGGCGTATAGTATAGCTACTGTATTGCCTCAACCGAGAAGGCAAGGGTTCTAAAAAGAGGCTGATGATCAGCGGCATGGTTTCTGCAATATGGCGTGCTTCATGTCCAGGCATGACTTGGCACTTGGTGATGTTTATGGGCCGTTGGCCTGGGCACGGCGTGAAAACAACAAGCGTTGTAAGAAGACTGAATATTGAATCAGGCTTGGAAGGACAAAAAGGAACGTTATGCTTATGCTCGCCCTGGCTGCTGCAAAGCATCGCCACCTCCGTGGCTTCAGCCCGACGTATGTATTTTTGGCGTTCGTATCTTGAAACCACAGGCTCACTCCGGGGGTGGCCAGGTCGCTCCGGATGCCCGCTCCTCGGCAGCCTGCCTTGTGGTAGGGACTCGCAGCGTGCCGTCGTGACGGCTGGAGTTCTGTCGCTGGCGAGGGCCTTCATGCGAGTGATTCTCGATGCGAGAGTTGAATTCAGCTTGTGGGGCCGAGGGGCCGCTGAGAGCGATGAAGATGCAAAATGCTGGAGTATTTTGTGGGTAGTTTGTTTCAGGTCAACTATTTGGTCAAGACTAAACCCCAATTGAGCAGAAGTCAGAAGTTGGTCTTGTGTGTATAATCCGGACTTCCTAAGCGTACTGTCAAGAGACAGGTGCTTGCGACATATTAGCACAGAATCCCAGGCTTTCATATGCTCCAAGTATGAAACCACCAAGTGGCACAATCTTATAAAATGCCATCTTTGGCTTGCACATACTCCGTATACGTACTTGTATTATAACAGACGGTATGACCGCTTACTTACACCACGGCTTCTTGTGGGGTTCAAAAGACGTGAGCCAGTCGCTCAACGTAGCACCCAATCGATCAATCAGTCAACCGCGTCAAAGCGCCCACCGGAACTTCAAACGTGAGCAAGCCTTATGGCTGGGAGCCCCTCGTCTGTTCCCCTTTTGGGGATGCCACCACCCTGGTTAACAATCGACAGAGACCTTCGCTTGCAAAACTAGCGCGGGAGCGAAAAAGCGACCAGAGCGTGGATTTCCGCGTGGGCATGGATGCAACGCCATAGACCTGGTTGGACATGGACCTGGGTACGACCAGCAGCTAAATCGGGAGCAGCAATATACTAATAAGCGAATGCTCAACTTTACTGGCAGCTCTGTCCAGGGCAAGTCCTTCAGCTCGTAGCTTTGTCAAGCTTGCTTGTTGCTGTGAATAGTTCAAAAGTACTCGATATTATGCGTATCAGACTGACCAAGCTACCAGACGCCTCGCCGAATGCCGCATGACGGTTCATCTCAACCTACCCCTGGCAGGTTCGGCGTCAATGCCAAAAACGCTAGACTCTTATGCTGCTCTCCAGCAGTTATGACATTGTAGTGAGTCGGCGCACCGTTGGCTCTGACGCTCCGGAATCAACAAGATAGCGCAGGTACGCGTTCGCTAGGTCAAAAGTCAAATCGACATTTTAACACTATCAACCCACATAAATGCGGTCGGAAATTACATCCGGAAAGTTTGCTGAACAATAGGTGCATGATGTGCCGCGGATAGTCGAGGCACCTTGGGATGGCGGTTGACGGAACCCATAAAACTCCACAAAAGGATGCCTGAGCGCCAACTGGGAAGATGAGTCGTCACAGGTCCATACATCGTATCGAAGCATTAGTGGCATGTCTTGTTGGGGGACGGACTAGCTCCGTGTTGTAGATCGTGCGGCCCCAGACGCTTGGAGCATGGAGAACAAGACAAGTAGTCACTAGTTGGCATTAGTGAAGAAACGGTGAGCCAAGGCTATGGACGGTTGAGTGAGGCCCATTGATGGCATTATCACGGACACGGTGGACGGCGAGGTAGTATTGTAGCGAATGTGGTCAATGTGGTGGTCAAAACGGTACTCACCAACCTGCCTCTGGGAGTTAGATTGCGGCAACAATTATCAATCTACTTCGTATTGTACAATGGAGATGTCAATGATGAGAACTCGGAAAAGATAAGACTGAGCGAATTTTCCGTGGAGACACTGTTGCCTAGTGCATAGTTACCATATGCCAAATTTGGATTCAGTCACGAATAGTGAGGGGACAACCAATGAGCACCCGATGAGCTCGTGAATGTGATAGACACATGGATGAGGATTCAAATCTTGTACTAGTACGGACATGGAGTACGGAGCACTACCATCTCGTCCCTGGTGCCTGGCTGATCTGCCCCCCTCGAGCAAGGCTGTGCGTTCTTGGAACCAGAGTGAGCCGTGTTCATGTGCTGGCATGGCAAGGGGACCATTGCCGCCGATCCAAGTCGGAACATTGAATCGGGCACTGGTGCAGCCGCCTTCGAAGACTGCGGGCGCTCAGGCGGGCGCTCAGCGTTTGACGCAGCAATAGGGAATTACGCATGAAGAGAAACGGGTCCTGAAGCCAAGACAGCGAGAGTCAACAGCAACTGGGCTGCAAAGCCAGAAACACAAAATTGTTAAAAATGGTCGACGGTGCCAGACGACGGCCAGAAGCGCTGGGAAACCGCAACAACAGCCAGATGCGAAAAGGGCAAGAAGGGTCCGGTACCGCCGGACGACACTTCCTTCCCACAAAATGCAGGTCTTCACTCCCCGGGACAGTTTAGCGCCACCTGAAGATGAGGCTCCATGGTTCAACGCAGCTGTGGCCTCATTGGCTCTTGCTGCTCGTGGCCTGTGTTCCTGCAGTAGTCGCCTCGATTTGTCTCGTCACATCCTCCCAACAAGTTGCTTCTTTCGACCCTCCATTGCCTCCATTGCCTTCCAAGCGCTGTCCTTGTCGCCCACCGCCAACAGCCCTGTTTGATGTCGACTCCATGCCTGGCTTCATTTGGTGCATCTGAGGACCCGATAGACACTTGATGTCTCATTGATTATCATCCACGGCGTCTGGACAGCCAACTAGGCGGGCGGACCTTGCTTAGTCTTGCCGAATCTCTTTCTCGGTGAGGAAGCATCAGCCATTGACTGGAGAAACAAGGAAAGGACGTTTGACATGACCTTAGACATTTTGTCTCATCTTTTTGGCGGGGAAAATGGTTGCGGACAGCACCGAAACAACAAACAACGGACCAGGGGCTTGTAAGCTCCGTGTGTAGTGAAGAACAGACGGCTTCTTTCTTTTTCAAGGCGATGCCGCCAAACGAAATGACTGCGAATACGGCACATAATCTCATCAACAGTCAGCCGGCTGAACTTGTCTCCCCCAGGATTTGCCAACCAAAAAATCTGGTCAGCCATTGCCCAATACCGCGCTGCATTTCCTCGTGGCGTACGGAGTACAGAGTATATTTCCACCAATTTGCTACAAAAGAGGCCATCGCAGGAGCTATTGACTCCCCTGTTGCAGGGGTTACGGGTCAATTGGGGCTGTCGAATCATGACGGAACTGTCATTTTCAGGAACGTTGCTTTTTGTGGCGCGACAATTGCCATTTTTAGGTGTACAGCGTTGAAGACCCCTGCCAATGGTATCCTAACGTGGCCGGGTGCCTGGGCCTCGGGCTAGTAGTTGTACCTCGTCGGTGAGCAATCCCTTTTTCGTATGGCTGCACCAAAAGCACTCCGTCTTGTAAGCTAATCATCTGGCTGCAAGTGAACTGAATGGCCGACGGGTAGCGTCAGCGGACTTTCGCCTGCATCCCGCCTTGTGTGAGAGAGTCGCATCCAGCGGTTCCGTCGAACGACTGCATCTTCCGACCCAGGAGCAGCGAATCAAACCCTCACTCGACGCGCAGCGCAGCCACGCGATTGCCCATGGTCGTCCCGTCCAACTGTTCCTAGTCGCCCGGCCTTCAGACCAAGCCGCAGGCCTGGAGCCATGCCCCTGGTTTCACGGCCGTAGTCCGGCCCCGGTTCTCAACTCAGACCGCTCGACGACATGGATTCGAGATTGCAACAAGCGCCATCCACCACACCACCGCTTTACACAGACCACCCCACTTGCCACCAACGTCTGGCTGTCATGGAGTCTGGTGATGGTCTTGTCTCCATGGCGTCTTTGTCTGCAGGCTTCAGCATGTACATACCGTATCCCGTCCACATGCGTCCCAAGGACGTGCCCTGAAGGGCTTCTTCGGCAAAGCCATCGGTGCATGGGCAGCCGTCCAGAAAACCACACCCCCTGGTGTGTTGGCGACAAAGGGAGCCCGTGTAAGTGCAAGGTGCGCCGCCCAGAGCATCGTTGGACCAGTCCTCGCCCGCCTAGTATATAGATGTCGTGACCACCCGACACTGGGCTGCTGCCTTGTTACACTCTCTCATCATCTTTGTCTTTACCTTTTGTTTCCTTTTCTATTTCCTTTTCGAGGCATTGCTGTCTTCGTCGTCCTACAGTCGAAGTCATTCGTTTCCTTCGACTACCATTCGCTTAATATCACAACTGGTTTTTGATAGTACTTTCATAGTTTACGTGCTTGACATCCAACAACACACTCACTATACTTGGGAATCATTAAGCAAAAGAGCAAGATGAAGTCTGCTCTTTCTGTTGTTGTTGCCGCTGCCGGCGTGCAGCAGGCTGCTGCTACTTTCGGCCTCTTGGGCGGTGGTGGCATTTCTTTCAATTTTGGTTTGGATTGGTCTGGTGCAAAGACTTTCCCTTGCCCTGGCAACGTTGTCAACAAGTGTACTCCTGAGCAGGAAAATGATTGGGACTGGAGTGACGTTGCGACTGGCTCCCTCAACACCTACGCTGGCTTCAACTTCGGTGGCGGCTGGTCTTGCGAGAGCAACTTTGGAAAGCGCGGTGATATCCAGGGCCGCACTTTCGGTCTCGGAAAGGTCATCTCCGGTTCCTGCAATCAGGGAGATGAGGCTGGTCTCTCCATTGGTGTTGGTGCCAGTGCTGGTATTGATGCCTTCTCCATTAACAGCTTCGACATGTCGACCGAGTTCGACGCCCGTCTCGAATTCCACTACGATATGCCTGACGGAAGTGTGTGCAAGCAGACCTCGGATTGCAAGCGAGGTGGATCGACTATTGTCAACAACCAGTGCGGCGGTGCTAAGAAGGTTCGGGTCATCTACCCCAAGCAGATCATCCACAAGGGAATCTCCTTCAGCAAGAAGTGCAAGATTTCTTGCCACAAGATCAAGTGGCACTGCGGCAAGCCCACTCCCAAGCCCAGCACCTCTGTTCTCACACTGCCTAGCACCTCTACCCAGGTGATCCAGACTACTCCTGTCACCACTCTGCAGACATATACCACTCCTTCTCAGCAGACTACTCCCGAAAAGCAGACCACTTCCAGCAAGGAGACTACTACCTCTGCTCAACAGACCACTCCTGGAAAGGAAACCACTCCTGCCCAGCAGACTACTCCCAGCAAGGAGACTACCCCCGTCCAGCAGACCACATCTAGCAAGGAGACCACACCTGCTCAGCAGACCACTCCTGGAAAAGAGACCACCCCCAGCCAGGAGACTACGTCCGCTCACCAGACAACCCCAGGCAAGGAGACGACTCCCGCCCAGCAGACCACTCCCAGCAAGGAGACTACTCCTGCCCAGCAGACTACACCTGGGAAGGAGACCACGCCTGCTCAGCAGACTACTCCCGGCAAGGAGACTACTCCCGCCCAGCAGACCACTCCTGGACAGCAGACCACACCCAGCCAGCCGACTACTGCCGCCACCACCACTCCTGCCACTACGTTTGTCACTACCTACGACACCACCTCTACCGTCTTCACGACCTCCACCAAGACCATCACAAGCTGTGGACCTGAAGTCACCGAGTGCCCTGGCAAGACTGGACCTCACATTGTTACTGTTACTATCCCTGTGAGCACCACTATCTGCCCAGTTACGGAGACCCGTACCCAGTCCCAGGGTGTCCCTACGACTGTCATTCTGCCCTCCAAGTCTGAGACTACCATCAAGGAGCAGCCCACCCCCGAGCAGCCTACCGGTGAGAAGCCCAACCCGGTCACCAGCCAGCCTCCTCAGTCTACTCAGACTCCTCCTTGCCCTCCTGTTGTTCCCAGATGTCTCAACACCTTCGTGGACCTCAAGGCCAAGTGCGCGGACAACAAGGATGCCTCTTGCTTCTGCCCAGACAAGGACTTCGTCAAGAACATCTTCGACTGCATTTACGCCCACGGTGAGAGCGACAACGTCATCTCCGAGGCTATCTCCTTCTTCCAGGGTATCTGCGGACGCTACATCCCTGAGAACCCCGTCATTGCCACTGGTGCCGAGACCATCACCCAGATCATCACTGTCACTGGTACTCCTCACATCACCCAGGTTCCTTATACCACTGTCGTTGTCGCTACCACAATCACCGAGAACAGCAGCACCCAGACCATCTCGACGGAGGTCACCATTCCTAACATCGTCATGCCTACTCCCACTGGCGGTGTCCCCAACCAGCCCGCCGCCACCGCGTCTGTTCCAGCTGGGCAGAACCCTCCTCCTGTCACTGGCCAGAACCCTCCCCCAGCTGTCACCGATCAGAGCCCTCCCCCCGCTATCACGACAGGCACTGGTGGTGTGATTCCTCCCAAGCCCACGGGCTCAGTGCCTGTTACTGCCGGCTCTGGACGTGTCGGTGCCGGCCTGGGCATGGTCCTGGCCGTCGCTGCTTTCGTCGCCGCTCTGTAAGCGGTAGAGAGTCTGACGGTATTGTGCTAAGCAGTTATGAATTGAGCTGCGGCGAATTCTGGTAACTATTCAAGGTAGACTTTTGTATTTATTTTGTCTCAAGATTTTATCAGACACGTGTATGCTACAATCGAAAAAAGCTTAGGAGGAAATAAAGGAGACTTGAGGAGAAGCTGAAGGGAAAAAATTTATGCCTAGTATCATTCTACACGATCCTTACGAAAAAGCATGTGGACATTACGGCAATCTTGGAGACTAAGAGGATCACATGGATATTGTCGGACTCGAGTCTTGAGTGAGCCTGACACATGCTCAACAACCAGTTAATTGAAACGCAGGGCTGGCATTCTGTAATCTTAATATTGAAATTTCAACGTTTGCATTTTCCACGACTTGACTTTGTGAATGTTTATCCCCACGTCTATCTAGTAGTATGTATCTCTTTGTCTTGCTTCCCATGATACTGGTAACTTGTAGTCCAAGAAGGAGGTCAAGGCCTAGTTTCCGAAGTCGATTCCAAACTCGTACCATGGCCACCATTTCTAATTCGTCAAGTTGCCCAATCCACACTAATCAATGTGTGAAGAGGACTAGAGTAAAACAAACAAGCTATACAAAACGGCAAGAATTGTCTATGGCGGTAGAACACGCATACGCAGGTACCTTCCACAAGTCTTGTAAGTAACATGGCAAACAGCACACTCTACAGCTTGGCAGCCGTGTCTTTTCTGTCCGCGCGGTCCTTGTCCTTGAGCACCCGGCGCAGTATCTTGCCGCTCGCGCTCTTGGGAATAGCGTCGACGAATTGCACACCGCCCCTGAGCCACTTGTGCCGCGCCTTGTGACGCTCCACGTGCTCGCGGACGGCGGCGGCGACTTCCTCGGCGGAGCGGCCGTCCGACTCGCGGGCCCGGACGACAAAGGCCTTGGGGACTTCGCCGGCGCGCGGGTCCGGGACGGGGATGACGGCGCAGTCGGACACGAAGGGGTGCGAGAGGAGGTGGGCTTCTAGTTCGGCGGGGGCGACTTGGTGGCCCTTTTTGTATTCGTGGTGAGCGATTATTTTTGTTTTTTGGGGGATAGTCATGGAAATGTATGTACCTTTACTTTGATGAGTTCCTTGATGCGGTCGGTGATGACAAAGTGCTCGGTTCCCTGGGGGGATTTCCTCACGAGCACCTCGTCGCCGGTCTTGAGCCAGCGACCGTCTTGGTGGTGGACGAATGTCTCGGCGTTGGCCTTTTCGTTGTGCAGGTAGCCGAGGACGACGGAGGGCGACTGGACGAGGAGCTCGCCCCGCGTCTCGTGGGCGGTGACTTGGTTGCCGTCTGGGTCGATGAGCTTGGCCTTGGACCCGGGCAGGAGGCAGCCCGACGAGCCGACGAGCCGGTCGGTTTCGCTGGTGGAGGATATGCCGGGCGAGGCTTCTGTCATTCCTGCCGCGTGGGTTAGGCTCTCACGTTTGAGGAGCGGATGTGGTCGAGAAGGATTGCTTACCGTAGCCCTGGCCGATGCTCCAGCTCGGATAGAGCTTCAGAATGCCCTCAATCACCTCTGTTCCCAGCGGGGCGGCGCCGGAAAACACATAGCGCACGCTGCTCAGGTCGTACTTGGACACGGTGTCCCTGTGGGTGATGATGTGTATCAGCAGGGGCGGCACGATGCTCAGCTGCTCGATTTTGAAGCGCTGGATGGCGTTCAGGAAGGTTGCTGGTTCGAATTTGGGCAGCACGACGACTTGGTCGCCGCGGTAGTGGCCGAGCAGCGCGACCATTGTGAGGCCGTAGATGTGGCTGAAGGGCAGGACGCCGACGCTGGTCTGGGTCTTGATGCCGAGTTGCTCGCGGGCGACGGAATCGACGGCCGCGATTTGCATGATGTTGGCGATGACGTTGAGGTGCGAGACCATGACGGCTTTCTGCAGCAACAGTTAGTCCTTTTTGTTTCTTCTTGTCCTTTGTCTCTCTTTTTCATTGAGGAAAAAAGCAGGTATTCAGAGAGGGCAGTGCCAGTCTTACCGGTAAGCCAGAAGTGCCGCTTGAATAGCTGAGAAACGCAGTTTGCCTCGCGCCCTGGCCCGTGACCCATTGCAAGGGCGGCAGCGGAGGCAGACTCTTGCCTTGCTCGACTAGATGGTCGATGGTCTCGAACCTTGGATCCGAAGCAACCCGGGGAACGGCCAGGAGAAACACGCGCTCGCGGGGGATGCCGGCCGCATCGGCAGCCTTGAGGGCATTTTCCAAAAGAGGCACGCATGTAAACAGGGCCGTGGCACCCGACGAGCGAAGCTGATGCTCCAGCTCTTGGTGGGAGTAGGCAGCACTGGCGGGCGTGACGATTCCCGAGAGGCGGTGGATGGCGTGTGCGAATGGGATGTAGTCAATCTGTGTTTGCCGACAACATGGCACGTCAGTACTCCGTCAGGTAGTATTTTTCCAAGAGGGCGACATGGACTGACCGTGTTCAGCGAGTACAGACACGCGACCCTGTCCCACTCGGTGCCCTCGTGCGGATTGAATGCCAATCGTCTTGCGATGCCTCGCGCGAGGTAGTCGGTTCGTTGGGCCACGTCGGCCACGGATCTGGTCAAGCCCGTAATGCCACATGTGTAGGGGTCCTTGGACTCGGCAATGGGATGGCGGCCATATTTGGGGTTGTTGATGAACTCTTCGAGAGTGATGGAGTCGGGGAGCCCTGCAGGTGTCGGGTGTCAGGGACAAGTTTTGCAGAGTCTTGGGTCCATGTTTGGTTACAAACCTGGGAGGGTGGGAGACGACGGAGGCGGGAGAAACACCATGGCGCCCAAAGAATTGCAACGCCGCACGCACTCGGGCAAGACTGGTGGAACTTGAGGCACGACCGCTCACGGCTCTTTCTTATGCAGAGCAAACGGGAGAGAAACAAGAGCCGGTGAAGTGGGAGGGCCATTGTCGTATATAGCCTCGGATCCGGCACTCTCTCATCTCTACTAGTTTGCCGGTTTCCTGTGCCGGTTTCCACTGCCGTCGGTTCTCCATCACGTCAGGTCTTCCGAGGCACCAAGCAAGAGGCACCAGGCAAGTCTACGCATTGAGCACGGCAATTGAGCGCTCCCCATTGGATGGCGTGCCCGCCGTTGGACCCTGTTATGGGCTTGGGGTCCCAGGGCGGCCCCGAGCCGATCCACATGTTCCTCTCCACCTCCGCGTTTTGCGGATCTTGGCCATTCTGTCTCGGCGCGGCAGCCTCGGCTGGACAAGAAGAGGCAGAATGACAAATGCCTTTATAAAAGGGGGTACGCCGCTCTATATTATCAAGCGCATTATTTAGTTACTGTCTTCTGCGGGTAGCTTACGCCAGGTTTTTATTGACCATTTGGTCAAGAGTACGGAGGACGGGGAGTGCCTCCTTCCTTATTTTAACGAGGCAAAACCGGAAGCTGCAGCCCGACACTGCCATTTGCTTGTCTACTCAGGTGCGTGCCTATGTACTTGACCGTTTGATGGCACAAAACATAGGCAAAGGTGTCTCGCTTTTTGTGTGAATAGCTTCAGTTGGAGCTCTCTTTTCCGCCTTGTAAACAATCGCTTTATCCAACTCGCACTCAACCTTGCTCGTGCCCTTGTACTCCGTACTACCAAGACCAAGACCAAGACCAAGACCAACCCACACATGCACCGGGATGCACTGCTGTGACCTGTCCCAAAGCCTCTGGAAATTTACTTTCCCAATAGAAACTCCAGGTCTTTAATTCTGGTGTAAACAGCCATCTATAGTGTTTTGTTGAGACTGATTAATCGCAGCGCGGCAATTAACTTCAAGCCGCTTGTGCGTCATCCCTGGTCCTCACGGAAATACCTTGCTCAGAAAAAGCCTAGCGTGGTACATAGTTGGTCCACCAGACATTACTGGCCCAAGTCGCCGTTATCCACGCAACGGTAAATAACGAATGTGACAGTAATGACGTGCTCAACGAAACCCACCTTTATTAACAGGTATAATCAAGTTCAATTGCCTTTAATAGAATCTTTACTATCGCATTCGACGAGGAAATTCTGCGTGGCAAATATCTGCCCTGTAAGAAGCTCCAGGACTCCTGCCTCTACGGCTAGATTTACACAAGTCTTCCCCTCTTTACCATTCAATGCAACTAGCAGCTATTATAAGGAATTGAGCACTCAACCCGCAATCCACGTTTGCCATTGCTTGTAAATTGCAATGCCATCACATGAAAGTAAATTTTGCTATGAACCTTACCACACTACCAGTTACAATGACTTCCTTCTGATAAACTTTGGGAATAGAGAGGGGTAGACATCTAGAATACTTGACACTCAGCCACAGCCAATTATGTGGCCATTACCTTTCTAGCTGCTCGGGTTTCTGCTCAACCAATACAATAGATCTAACAATCTACCTAGGTATATTACAGTAAACCGATTTTAGCAGCCTCGTATTGACACCTCACTCATACCCAATAACATGTTCCCCTTCACCAACGTGGTGTTTGCTACAACACCTGCCACGGCCGCCATTATCCCTTCGCATCTCACAATGAGAACATGAGGCTTGACCCTCGCCAATAGCTACCCAAGTACACGACGGCAACGTATCAAATCCGCAATACCAAACTGCCACAAAAGCCATCTAGCACAGCCGTCAACGTAATAAAAACACCGAGCCGTCCTACAAACCATAAAAGGCAGGCCCATCTCCCGAAGCAATCCACCACCCAACGCACAAAACCTTGGCTCTCACATCACAGTCAAACCCTAAAACAGACTCCCAGCCCAAATACCCCATCCACAATGCTCAACCTCCTCGCCCTCGGCTTCGCTCTCGCCAACGCCGTCCTGGCCATCGGCAACGCCGTCGTCGAGAACAACTGCGACTTCCCCGTCTATCTACGGTCCGTCGGCAGGGAAGTCTCGCCGGCGTTCTACCTCCGCCCCCGCGGGGGCAGGTTCTCCGAGCCGTACTCCCGCGACCCGACGTTCGGCCAGGCCCTCAAGATCACCCTGGGGCCCGACGACGTGTTCGATCCCACCAGGCCGCAGACCGTCTACGGGTACACCCTCAGCGAGCCCTTCATCTACTACGATCTCGACGACGTTCGCGGCAACATCTTCGCCGGCAAGCGTCTTGTCCAGCGCAGCACCGACGACTCGTGCCCGTCTAATGTCTGGCCCCAGGGCGTGCCTGTGGAGCCCCATGTCCATAACTGTCGTGATTCGGAGGCCGATATCATCTTGACCTTGTGCTCGGCCCAGAGGGGATTGTACTATAATATATGGGAGCTGTAACGGGACGGGGATACAACTGTAGCTTTGTCTTTGTTTGTGATGGGCCTAACAGACACATTATAGTTTAGCATGTACTTGAGTTATTTATTATTATTTTTAATTACCTTTATTCTATATTATAATTGTTTGCGCCACACTCGGTTCCGTCAATCACGGCTCTTCGCACCGCCGCTTCTAGTCTTGCCATGACTATCGTTCAAATCTGGACACTGGCCATCCCCAAGTATCCTGGCTACTGCTTCATCTATTCGAAAGTATGTTGCCAAGTGCAAGACCATCAACTGCCCGAGAAGAAAGTCGATGCCTATGATGCCACTCAGCGCCAGTACGACTCAGCGGCCGCTAGTAGTCGTAGAGAGGGCTTGACCGTAGACGCCCCTCAAGGTCGACATCTGAGTGGCAGGGTCTGTTCGTGAATTGAGAGATGCGTGCGTAAATGCGTGATTTTGTGAATGAGCCTCGGCTACAGCTGCTTCCATTTCGGAGCCCGGATGACGAGTGCGATTACTGGCTGATGGCTGCGGTTGTTAGCTCGTACTGCTGTGTAGCCCTCGCCTTCACAACAGGGCTACTAATAAATTAGATCCTGAAAATGGAAAATTGTCATAAAGTGAGCTTAGAGATCCACCCCAGTAATCGACAAAACCTATCGCCGCGGCAAAAAACTTGGGTGACCACCTCATTAATGCCATGTGCCACTTCTCAAGTTCGTAGGGTATCGTGAGACGTCTAATGCTGTGTGTGCAGTCGTCTATATGGAAAACACGCCTTAAAACATCAAACACCAAGCGAAAAAACCCAAGATTATATGTACGGCTCATCATAAAATGTTGCATGCCATGGCCGCAACGCCGATTATAATAAGCAGAGAACTTATCGCCGTGACTCGCACTCCAGCGTTTTTGTTACCGCCGCCACCCGTGGATACCGCTTGGGCTGTCTGTGTCGTCACCACGCCAGTCACGCAGGCGGGATCAATAGACGGGCACGAAGTGATGGTATAGGCCGTCGTGTACGTCTTGGTAGAGACGCTGCCCGTCGTGGAAGTTGGCTGCGAATTGTTAGCTTGCCATTGATAAAATCATATGGCGTCTCCCGCCTTAACATTCCATATTCGGCATTCTTACCTGGGCACTACTAGTACCAGTAACAGTAGCAGAAGTGTCACTTGCTTTGCAATTTCCAGTAGCAGAAGGAACCGCATCTGTACCAGACGAAACGGCAACAATATCGTTCTTGCCGCAGTTGTCGGCTTGGGCAATATGCACCTCCTGGTTGTCCCAGTCGAATACAAAATAACCAGCGCGGAGAACACTGTCTCCCAGGATCTGTTGGTCTGTTGTGAGGACCATGCCAACGTAGCACGTGTCGGAAGAACCGCTCAAATCCAAAATAAAGTCCTTCAATGGCACGCGAACCGTCTTACTTCCAAATCCAAAGTCTACGCTGCCTCCGGACGTCTTGGCCGAACAAGGCACCTGGTAGTAGCCTTCGCCGTCATCCGTGGCATTCAGAGCGCGCAGTATAGGTACGGCTACGGTGGAATGCATGCGGGAAATTGTCGTCCCAGAGTCCAGCATAACATTTGCATCGGATTTGTTGACTGCGAAGCTGGATGATGATGACATGGTGACGCCAATCGTTGTCAACTCAACCGCGAGCCGCCACTCACCGCCAACGCCCTTGACGATTGGACGCTTCTCAAGTGCACCGATGAATTTATTCCTGTCCAGACCACCATAAATAACAGCGCCGTACTGATCGTCAGAGTGGCGCAAGTCTAGAGAAAATACCCGGCTGGAAATGACGCCTTGCTGGGCCATGGAGTCCAGGACCAAGCTGTATGGTTCGTCGGTAGTAAAACCGCCCTTCAAGTCTGGTGCTAACCCCATGATACCTTGGGCCTGGCCCTTGCTCTCCGCCACGACCCCAAATGTTTGGTTGTCGATTTTGGCATCTCCAAGTGCAACCGTATCGGCATAATAGTGAATCAAGACTGACGTTTGGGTCTTGGGATCGGAAGGGTCTCCGTAATTGAGCTGCTCCTTTCCAAAGGGTCCGTAGGACTTATTGGACTGTTGGGGATTATATTGGCCAAATTGCTGGCACTGATTTGCCTGCTGTCGAGTTTTGGTCGTTGTGCAATCAGGGTTGACCCATAATTCACTTGAACCAGTATCGACGAGTACTGTGACTCGTTGGGGAGGGCTGCCAATGTTGACTGTCAAGTGGTTGGGACGAATCAGCGGGAAAGCTCTTACACAAAGAGTACTAAATCTCCAAGTATGAGATGGAGGAGATATCAGTCGATCAATTGTCCCGGCGACTCACCGTCTGTGGCATAAAAGAAGTCCATGTTATTGAGCTGGTCCTCAAAGGCGTTCGCAGCTCGCCTTACGCCAGGCAGTCGGTTCACGGTGCCAACAGGCATCGCCAGGAAGCCATCTCCACTGACGGATTGCGAGAAGCCCTTCAAGAGGGTCTTGTCCACGGCAATAGACAAGCCGGCTCCGAGTAAGACGAGCACCGCGGTGCCCAAGGATATGGACCGCATCGCCGGGCGACCAGAAGCGGTAACCTTGTGAATGGAGCTCGAGCAGAGGCCGCTCCGCGCAAGAAGCTTCCCAGAAGCAAAACCTCTAAAGGCCAAGGAGGCAGGTGCGACTGAGTTGAGAGGACGTCACCCAAAAGGAAAGAGGTGAGGATGCGGACGAAGTAGGCGACTCCCAATATCGAGCAAAGTTGTCTCAGCCAAAAACCATCCAAAACTCGCGACTTCTCTCAACGATAACCAGCCGCTGGATCGCACCGGCTCACCGGATGACGGGAACATTCATCTTGGGAGTAGCATCGTCCAGGCGCCCTGCCGCGCCCAGGTGGCTGATGCTGCGTCTCGGCTCAAAACCTATTGGCGTCGCGGAACTTTGAGCATGAGAACCCAGTGCTGAAGTGCTGGCCATGGGACGCCGCCACGAAACGCCAAGGGGAGGGTTTAACAGGGTTAAAATGGCGAACCATGGCCCAATACTCCGTATGCCATTACAGCGTACAACTCGACGAATAGTCTGACCCGCCTAGCCGCCCAACCCGTTTGGCTGTGGTCGACGCACTCATATCTTGTCCAGCTCCCTAATTGGGAGAGGGCGAAGCGCTGCCAGCGAACCGTTTTGGGCGGCTATGGATGCCGCAGTGGCAAGCAATTTTACGACAGAACCATTTCTTCACGATACTGGGACGGAGATTGGTCGAGGCTGCGAGGGATTACGCGTCTTGGCTTGCTTCCTCCCACAGGCAGTCAGAAGAAATCTTGGTGCTTGGAGCAAAAAGGATCTAGGCAACCTTGGCAGGAAGCAAGCAGTCTTCGAGGAGCCACGCAGCATGATAATGGTCCGCGGTGACGCCACTTCGTAATCAACTTCGCCTCCACAAAGCAAAGAGCCCAAGGGCCGGCGTGCCTTCAACAGGTCTCGACAAGACGCGACCACGCAGTATACAGCCACGGAGTTCAACGAACAATGCGGAGTGCTAGCATCGACGGAATACGGAGTAGTTACGGAGTTACAGTGCTGCGGTAAATGAAGTGGGATAGGCGCTGGGCCTGTGGTGTCTACAGTCTCACAAACATCTGAGTTGTTTGCTTCTTTCCACTGCCCCTAGGCATGTCTCACACTGTCGACCGAATCGGAGACTTACAACTCCTGCTTTCTAGGAATAGAATTTTTTCCCTCCCGACACGCAGCATGAACGGATCCTGAAGCAGCCCGCAGGATCCGGTGGCTTCACCCACGTTTGAGAACGATTTAGAGCTGAGGCGTCCCAACGAAATTGGAGCTGAATCGCCAATTCCTTGGCAGTAAGATCGATATACTACTACTAGTATTCCTGGGATAGAGGGGCTACCATTCTCTTTTATTGGTGACCATGTTCTTATGTGATGCTCATTTCAGTCAAAACCCTTGTCAAGGACTCAAGACGATGCGACTCCACCAAAAAGGAAGATCAACGACTCGGACAAAAGACGTTTTAAAAATAGCTGGCACACGTCCTTGAATCCTCCGGCGAGTGTCATGGCCCGCCTCGGGCTAGATTTTCGGCCCGTGAGAGCATTGTGACTGCTGCCTTCGTAATGAAGCGCAAGACAGGATACAGGAATCCAGTTCGGAGGGGAGAAGCTGGCTTTCCTTTGGGCTTCCTTGATAACAAAAGTTATCGCAAGCCTCGCGAACACTACCGCGAGCGGAGCAAGGGAGCTTCTCCCATGGGTCCAGTTGTGCCAGCAGAAACCCCGAGCCCACAAGGCTGAACGCCATCAGCGACAGAAACGAGCCAGAGGCTTCGTCACTCATGGTTCGCCTCAACTCGCTTGCCAGACATGGCCGTTAGAGTACTCCGAAAATATGGAGTGCTTCGTGGCCTTTCTGCGCGGCGGGCGATGGCGTGGCACCAATTGTACATGTTGTACATTTATTACCAGTCTGCTGGATTCGGCCAAGAATTGAATCGCACTAAATTTCTCCAAACCAGAACGCAGAGTAGCACATGGGACGCCATTGATGCAGCATCGAGACATTGAGGCTTCGTTTCGATTAGCGACTACCCTGTTGCTGGGCTGGGAGGAGCGTTGTCCACGAGTCGTATGTTATCTAGTTTAACACGGCTATTACTATACACCACTTTCGGACCAGGGCGAAGCGGCCCATAAAAATCGATTTGAATGTACATACATGACGGAAGATCGGTCAGATTGCCATTAGCAATTCCACTCAAGCTACAGAGTGCAGACACGTACCAGATATCAAGTCGACATGTGGTTACCTTGGCAGACCCCCTCCCCTTGCACTGTCCAAGGCTTCCGTCCTGGAGTGTTGCAACCGAAGCTTCCATGGGTCAGGGCTCTCTCCAAGTTCGACCAATATCGGCCAAAGATTGCCTTGTGCCTCTGAATTGACTCCGGTATCACGGGCGGGAATGCACGGTAACCACAATTGTTGGGCGCAACCAGCCGGGATGGCTTCATGCAACTTCTCACCGGTGTCTCGGTGTCCTACACACGACCCGCGCGTGTTGGTATTTATTACGGAATATCTGCTCCCTAGTTTCTGCCATCTTTTAAACCAGGTCCATAGCAATGAGTTGCAGGTTATACTATCGGTCTGTCTCGCACCCAATGCTACGGCCGCGGTGGTGCCCCTGGACATGGCCTGCGTCAAGGAGCCAGATGATCGGCTATCATATACCAAATTTGGTATTTTGTTTGTAGGCCGTCAAGCCGTGTGCAAGGGTGCGTCTTCACCGGTTACCTGCCTATGCGCCACCCTTTGATGGATTTTGGAAGCCACAAGGCCAGTGACCGTGGATGCTGCCAACGGCAATCAATAAAACCTCTGGCCTAAATATCAACTCTGCCGTCTTTGGCTTCATGCAGTAGCAATGCAGCATTGCTGAAGCCTGTCTGTCGCCACACCGGTCTGCAGGCACGGCAAGTCGACCAGCGCTGACTCACCGTGTTCGGACTCGAGGAACCAAAAGTATACTGACCATACCACCTCAGAGTACTATTTACTTGCTTGGCCCCCCCCAGAATGACGTCTAACATCGAGACTTGTTGGCCGGATGTACGACTCTTCCTCGTTTTTAGGCGTGAGTAAGAGCTTCGTGAGTTCGTTCCATGAACAGTCGAGCAAGAATTTTGCCCAGATACAAAACAAGTTGATCCAGCATCGCTTGAAAAAAGACCCAGCTGCGTCACACCAAGTTTTTCTCGTCCATCATGAAGGAGTGATAGGCGACAAAACCTCCTAGGAAAAACAGGAGTGCTATGCGCCGTGTAACGAGAATCGGCAACCATCTGATGACCCTTGACAAACACCACCTACGGCAGAAGCATAGAAAGCTGTACCTCGCAACAAAGCCTGTGCCAAGAAATTGGGTGACCCCTCGAACTCGTTCGTGCACTATCGGTCTCGACCTTCTAGACGGAGAAGCCAAGCTCTCATACGGCCTCCGTGCTGCCTGTTGGAGATTCTCCCTGTGTTTCCAACTTGATGCGAACATCATAGGCATTTGCAATGGTGTTTTGCAAAGAAGACAACAGGGCGCTATTACAAGCCCTAAAGTAGGCATCTCACATTCCCCCTCACCCCAAAACTGTGCATCGTATGGCTGATGTCTCTTCCATAGAAATCTTGTTCAAAGTGATCGAGAAGCTGGAGAGCATGTTCCGCCAAATTTCGACAGCATACTACAAAGTTTGGATGAGATGTCTGCTGAAATCGATGACCTGGTCGTTCCCAATTTGTCGGCAGACATTCGGACTACATACAGTCCTGGCCGTGAAGAATTTGAGATCTTGCAAGCGTACAACTCTTTGATTAAGGCTGGAGGCAGACCGATATGTCCGCTTAGTGAGACGGCATCCATATCTAAACACCCCAGAAAGCACCTTGAACTCCTGGGCCCATGGGTCAAGGCCCCCTTGGTCGACTTGGCGATAGATTGGAAAGGCATCTTTGAGAAACAACTTTCCAATTGGCAACACTTTAAGGCTTGGCAGCAATCCAACAGGAAATTGGAGGCCTTGCCGGATACAGATACACCAGAGACATTGCTACAAGCCGCCAGCGATGGAGCAAATCGCCCCCTATCCAGTAGTTGCTACAGCTCGGGATCTAAAAAGTTTGCAGCGCATTTAGCCATGGCCAGAAGACGGCTCAATCACTGCGGTTTTACTAAATGTTTCACATTCGACATGGACTTGGGAAGACAGGACGAGTGGACAACTTGGATCGAGTATTTAAGTTTCGAGTGCTATTGTTGCGATGCCCATTCTCGTTCACACTTCAAACCTGCTTCAGTTAATGATGTAGAGTCTGCAATTAGCCTAGATCATGTTTCCTCTCTGGTTGAAAAGGAGCACACGAGCAGGCACTGTGGGATTGACGGTTATTCTCGTGATGGCACGTCGACCCCCCATCATGCTAGCAACTGTGACAGCCCGATGAATTCACCACAAGAGGGTCAATACGACACCCACGCATCTAGGAAGGACGAATATGGCGCAGATGAGGGTGCAGTTTCGAAAGTGGATGGTATCAGACCTTGGTTAGGCGGGTTGATTGCCTCGGGTGGTGGTGTAACACACGATGGAACGGGGACGGCTACTGGAGAACCCAATGAAACGAATCACCACAACCTCATCCTACGATGGGCTCTACTTCAAGAGCCTCAAATTGCTGCCAACTCTGCTACGAGTCAAGGACGCATCAGTGCTACTGGAAAGCCCTGGCCAACTACTCACAGTCCGCGACGCAAGCGACATTGGGATGGTTCTCTTTGTAGCAAGAGGCCTGGTGTTTTCCAAAGTGAGGGCTTGGGAAAAAACAACGATGGTGGCGATCCGGAGCATAAACGCTCCAGAAATAGTATATGAGGACGTGTTTCCAGGTCCATTCATGTCTTTCTAGGTGTTGCGGCGCTTATCATTTACGTATGGGGAACAACAGTTGTGTCTCAAGCTCGAATATATAGGAATTTTACAATGGGTACTTGACAGTTGAGGCTTTCGCCAAGCTTGTTGGATATGATGAATTTGGTAACTAGGCCGGTCCTCATAGTTATCCACAGCAACTTCACATGTGAAGTGTCAAGGACTCGAGGCCAACGTGAGGTTGTAGAATAATTCGGACTTGGGGAGTTGCGATTTGGAGGAGGGCCTTGAGGTTGTGAGCGACCGGATGCAATTGTACATCTTTTTTCCTATTTTGCATATTCCGAGACATTCCTGTTCCAAGGGGCCATGTCGTTGCGCATGTGTGATGCACAGCCTCCTCGAACCTCAGGTATCACCAGTTCCCACAACTCGCACAGTTCTCATCTTCAGGCACTTGAACGTGAACCGAACTACTAATCAAACTCACCACCAGGCGCTAGGTCTTTCCTTGCCATCAAGAAATTGACCAGCTCTCCACTAGTCTCGGCATCAATGGTCCCAAGCCGCGGAATCTCAGTCTGCCGCCCAGCGGAATGGGCCAAACACGCACGCACAATCCTTGCCTGGCCGTCTCCCAAAGCCGCCCCCTACAAAGACGACGACGCAGCCCTGCGCCGCGCCACAGACGACGTGAGCTCCATCGCAGAGGCCGTTGCTCGTTTCGAGCCCGTGTCCATCCTAGTCGATCGCGAGTGTCTACCACAGGCCGAGAAGCGGTTTCGCTCAACGCACAGCCACGGGATACATGTGCATGCCCTGGCCAGAGGCGGGCTAGACGTGTGGATGCGCGACATGGCGCCGACTTTTACAATCGAGACAAACAACACAAGCAGAAGAGAACTGCGCGGCGTGGCATTCAACTTCAACGGGTGGGGGAATAGATTCCCCTCGGAGGCGTGCAGCAGCTTCGCAAAGGCGTACCTCGCCGACGCGGGGATCCGACCGGTCTCGTCGTGCATCACAGCCGAGGGCGGCGCTTTGGAGACTGACGGCGAGGGCACCCTGCTCGCCAGCGAGAGCTCCCTCGTCAACGACAACAGGAACCCGGGCCGGACCAGGTCTCACATCGAGGCCGAGCTGCGCCGCACACTGGGCGTGACAAAGTTCATATGGATACCGGGCCTTGAAGACGGCGACTCGACGGACTTTCACGTCGACGCCTACGCGCTCTTCGCGAGGCCGGGCGTGGTTGTCGTGTCGGCGCCTAGCGAGACTGAAGAGGCGAGCCGGTGGACGGATGCGTACGCCGAGGCCCGCGAGGTGCTGGCTTCCGCGACGGACGCCAGGGGGCGCAAGTTGGAAATCGTGGAGATTCAGGAGCCGAGGGTGGAAAAGGTCGTGCCGGGGGGGGATTTAGCCGCTGTCGAGCACGGGGAAGGGCACAGGCCGGTGCACAGCTATGTCAACTTTTTGATTGTGAATGGCGGTGTGGTGTTGCCCCAGTTTGGGGACGGGATGGCGGACAGGAGGGCGGCGGAGACGGCGAGGAGGGTATTTGGGGAAGAGAGGGAGGTGGTTCCCGTTTTGATTCGCGAGTTGCCGCTTCTGGGGGGTGGGATTCATTGCGCTTCGCAGGAGGTGCCGTGTGTAGATGGCGGTTCCGTTTGAGACGAGATGTGGTTGTGGTTGTGGTTGTGGTAGTCTCTCACAAACTCTCAGCTCTGCATGAACAAAGGCACGTTGCGCGAGCTTTGGTCTAGGGGCTAAACTGCTCCTTTGGGAAAATTGTACATATTTCTGGGTATTTTCCATGAGTGTGGGTTGATTCTCAACATGTGCCGTCGATATATGCGACCGCTCTTTGGCGAAAACGTAGCACTGGAGAGTACATGACCTTTCGACAGCTTCCTGTGCCATCTGTAGCTTCTGCCCAAATTGTCTCAATTGTCTTTCTGCACGTCCAATCTCGTACGTAGTCTGGCTTGCCATGAGCGAATTCACGTTCCACTTCTAATTTCTGCCCGTGTCTGCCAGCGTCTACTTTGCTGCCGTGCCGAATAGGTGCTGTCTACATGGATGGTGTGCTCTCGCTTTGTGCGGAGAATTGACAGGAGACCAGCTGGAAGCAACAACTTGAGAGAAAGAGCAGTAGAGGGCGCTAAATGGAGCAAAGACAAGAGGAAATGAACTTGACGGTTGTTTTACCAACGAGGGCCACGGCGTTGTACATTCGTTCTGGGCGGATGTTAGATCTCGTCTTACGGTGGCAGGCACCTTCAAAGGCTCCGAGGCCTGTACCAAAATGAGTACATAGATCATTGATGGCAATTTTGAAAGCGATCAATTGAGCGCATGAGCAGAAGCGTCGATATACTGAAGCATGTAACGGCATGGCGCTAGGCCTATATGTATCAATTGATGTTTCAATTAAGTCAAATTGCTGGTAGCGGCCAGTCGGGCGCCAACGAGCTACTGGCAGCGGCGTTGGAAATGTACTTAAAGTCTGGTCGTATAAAGTAGCAAAAGAAATGGTTGCAACTTGGCACGGCCACAAATATAAAAATACCCCTCTCCAGTCTCCACGTGCCATCTTGAAATCTCTCCTCGCCAGACTTCGCACTCCAAGTTAACCTGCCGCCTCCATATCCGTCTACTCTGCCTAGCAGGCGCACCGCACCAGCCGTCAAGCATCACCATTCTTTTCCAGCACAAACGCAAAATAGACATCTGGTCCCCGGATCAAGCGACCCGTTCTTCTCGGCACATTCACACCTCCGACATAGTGCGCGTTCCCAGCCGTTGGGTACTTGCCATGCCTTCCGCACAGGACATTGCGTCGAAACTGGCCCATATCACCGGGCTTCTCAACGCGGGGGGCACGAAGCGCAGATGAAGGAGTGGTACGAGGAATACAAGAAGCTGCGCGTGGAGCTGGAGCAGGCGAAGGCTCTGCAGGCGAAAGATGCAAAGGCTGATTAGAGGTTTTCTTGATTTGAGCCGAACGAGTCAATATATGTCCGGGCTCGAGACGTCTAGGCGAATGGGTTTGGCTAAATACAAACAGGGTGCACCAAAACGACCAGCTCATGGCGGCTGTAGATTCAAACAAGTGATGAACTAGAGGTTAGAGGGCCAAGTCTTGTCATGGGAGCTCCGTATCTTCCCTCGCTCTCGTGTACTCCCTGGAGTATGCTTCTGCATCTATACAAATAATGCTATGCGTATAAACACCGATTAAGCCCAAGTACACTGAGCCACGACTACTTCCCACACCTTACAGTGCTATATATTTCGCCAGCGTATACTCCAGTCTCTCAAGGCCGAGAAAAATATACCAACCGCCCAAGAAGTCCATGTACAACACTCAAAGAGACAGCATGTTCTCATTACATGACACTTGCATATTGATGTCGAGCCACCGCAAACATCCGCCAAAGACGCCGTACGGTTCCATTTGCCGACCTCCCCCCTCAAACCTACTTCGCAACCCCAAACTCAAAACTAACATGCTCCCACCCCAGCCGCCTCTGGAGGACAAGGCCCATACCCTCCCCCTGCCCCAGGGGCTTCGACGCGCCCCCCAAAATCGTCGAGCCCGCCATCCCGACCAGCCGCACGGCTCCGCCCTCCCCGTAGCCCGACGCCTCAAATGCCAGGACGAGCGCCGCCGCGGCCCCCAGAATCTCGGCAGAGGCAAAGTTGCGCCCGGGGCAGAGGTGCCTGCCGCCCCCGAACGGAATGTACGCCGCCCTCCTGGCCCTGTCGGCCTGCCGGCCCACGAACCGGTCCGCCCGGAACTCGGCCGCGTCGGCGCCCCAGACCTCCTCGGCGCGGTGCGTGTAGCCCGCGGGGATCTGCACGTCGGCGCCCTTCCGGAGGAGGTACGAGGCGCCGCCGCGCCCGTCGGAGACGACCGTGTCCTCCATGACGCGCCGGACGCAGAGGGCGTGGTTGGACAGCCGGATCGACTCGCGGTAGCAGCTGACGAGCAGGGGGCACGCGTCCTCGAGCGCGGCCACGTCGAGCGCGGCCACGTCGCTGCCGGGCTCGCGCCGCACGAGGGGGTCCAGCTCGCTCCGGAGCCGGGCGACGACGCCGGGCCGCGCCAGGACGTGCGCGGCCATCCAGAAGGTGGTGGGGATGGTGTTGCCCGTGGCGAGCTGGAGCAGGCTGGCTTCGAACCTGCCGATTTCGCTGTCGGGGAGGCCGTACTTTCGGAGAACCGCCGCGCGCTCGCGGGTCACGGCCGCCGCGGTCTCGTCCTCGTCGCCCCGGGCGGCGTAGTATCTGCCGAGCTCCTTCTGGAGCTTCTCGCGGGCCTGGAATCCCGCGGCGTTGGTGACGGGGTGCCACGGGGTGATGAGCATGGTGGGGATGGCCGCTTCCCAGGTCCTTGCGCGAGGTCAGTGGTGAAAACGGTTAGAGCGGCCGGCGCGGCGTTGGTACGCACCACAGGTCATTGACAAGCTGGGGGTCTTTGAGGAGAGGGTTCTGGCGGCCCATGAGGGCGGTGGTTGTTGCCGAGGTCATCAGCTCGCGCAGCCAGAGGTAGAAGTTGTCGATGGGCACCTCGCTGCTTCCCTTCATCCCGTCTAGTCGAGACGAAATGTAGTTGAGGGCCGTGGCATTCATGCGGTGCAGCGGCTCGCCACGGACCGTCACATGGAGGGCGTCGAAGAACTCGACCACGAGCTCGGGAATCTCTCGGAAGGCCCTGTAGGACTCTTCCTTCATGCCCAGCATGGTTTGCAGGAAGTCGACGGCGAATGGCTCGAAGCTGAGAGTCTTCTGGCGGAGAGCGGACTGGACAAGGGCAGGATCCCAGATGGCATATGTCTTGCCGCCGAGCATGGGCAGCGTGGCGATGGCAGCTCCAGTCTTGTTGCTGCGCCGCGGAGTCAGCCGGCAGGTTCCACGTCATGAGGGGTTGGGTTCACTGCTTACTGTAGATTTGTGTAGTATTCTGCCTGGTTCCTGATGAGACCGATGAGGTGGCCAACGAACGGGATCTGGGGAAGCATCAGCGGTGGCTCTTTTGCGTCGAGCGCTGGAATCGACCGTCTGTAGAGATATACGAGGACGGTGACAAGGAGGGTCGAGACGGTATATCGAATGGGAGACTGCTGGAACTCGGCGACGGCAGCAGCGATGATTCCACTCTCACGGACGGTAGCATTGGCAGTGCCCATCAGGAGGGAATCTGCTGTGGCCAGGGGCGTGTCGAGGGTCGACTGAGCGGCGGCCATGGCTGCTAATCGTATGGGGAAGCGGAATCGTACAAGTGTATAATTTTGGTTTCCAAGAATTCCAGGTAGATTCTTCTCCTGAGAGCCGTTGCTAGCTCGGGTATGAAGGTTGGCTTGAGCAGCTCGTTGTGCGACAACGAAACCAAGAGTCGAAGAATTCATGACCTCTTATAAAGATGAGGCATGTCCGACTAGGAGATTTGACAAAATCCTCCCCTCACATAACCCGCATGAACCCTTGTGCACATCGAATGATGTACATGGCTCAAGAGTCGCTCCGGACGGACACGGAATGGGGTCCGGAGGAGCGAGTATGGTTGAATTGCCAAGGTGACGAGACTGGCTTGGATCGTCAAGAAAAACGTGAACTTCGGTATCATCCTCTATTTTTGGTTTTCCGAACAATCCTATTCTCGGTCTAGCGTTTGCCCTCGTACCATAGTTGCACGATGCACGCTCTTCTGCGTGCCGAAAGTGACGCCCGCTTCCACCTCCGGAGCTCCTCGGACGTGGCGTCCTAACCTTGCCAGTGAGCAACTACATGCAGAACATGCAACGATTGAGTAATACAGAGAGGCACATGCAGTACATTCAATTCTATCCAAAAAAAAATTACCTTGGAGAGTCATTCCCCCCACGTCAATTCCATCAGCTAGCTGTGATGGTCCCCTTGAACCAACTCTTCATCCTCGACGTTGCATCGCCCGGTTTCCCAAAAATGTTCTCAACAAGTATAAAATCGTGAGCCTCCCTTTCCGACTCATCTAGTCTAATTTGGCAGGTAGCATTCCTGCGCCGCAGCAGGCTGACCAGCCTGACGCCCTGATCGTACAGAACTTCATTTTTCCCAACGGTGAGGAAGACCCTAGAAGTAACGTCCCCGATACCATCGAGCCAGGCCTCTTCAGTGTCCAGAGGTGTCATGTATGGATTGGCGGCAGAGAGGTCCCCCGCAAGGACATCTGCCTTGTGCGCCTTGATCTGGTCCTCCCCGTAGAGGGCAAGGCCCAACGTATCCAAGGCCCCCGTGGATATCATGTCATTGCCGTCGTTCCGCTTGACCGAATCGCTGAATACATTGTTGCTCAGCCAGGGCGACACTAGAAAGACGCCTGCCAGAGGTTCCGAAAGTTGCAACGGACGGATTCCTTCGTGCGGGTGGAGGATGTGGCTCAAGACTTGCATGGACAGGTTGCCTCCCGCTGAGTCGCCGCCCATGTAGATGTCTGATGGACTGGTGCCTGAATCGAGAATCGACCCCAGAGCCTCGGTGGCCTGTACTAAAGGGACGGGGAATCTGCCATCGTTCAAGAGCGTGTACTGGAGACAGCCGACTGCGACCTCGACGCCGGCCTCTCTGCCGGCCAGCACGTAGGCATTCCAGCACCAGTCGTAGTGGCCGCGGAGAGCAGGGGCGATGTATCCGCCTCCGTGCAGGAACAGCACAATCTTGCTAGCCTTGCGGCGGTTTCCTATCCACAGGAGCGAGCCGCCCGTCTGGCCCAGAGGCTGGATGTCGTGGACGAGGCGCTGACGAAGGGCGGGCTCCCTCGTGCGTCCCAGTTTGCTGTTGACCCATGTGTAATAAGCATCCACGGTAGGCTGCGAGTAAATCTGGATTTCGCGATCATTGAATGAGGTGAAGACGGCATCCACAATGGCGCAGAAGACGTAGTACTTGATGTTGAACCTGCGCCTGGCGGAGAAGTACACGATTCGCAGAATATACCATGCCATGCGTAAAGGCACTGTCATCCCGACATGTTAACAACATGGGGTCTCATCAAGTGGAAATGCAAAACATACCGATTGTTGTGGCCTTGGTCAACAGCTTCAGATACTCCCATATTGAAAGCCTTGGCCGCCCATTCTGGTGCGGGTAACTTTGCTGAGCTTCTACAGCGAGCGTGCTTTGTACTGCCTAGTGGAACATGTACGTTAGCATCAGGAACATGATGTATTTCGATGGGCTTGAATTCGCGGGAGGGCCGCAAAGGGCGTCCAGCCACGCACGCCAGCAAAACTCCCCATGCACGACCAACTCACGCGCTACCGAGTAATCGACATACCATCTTGAAAACAACCTACTCGGGGGAAAAAACCGAGCTGGGATACTGGAAGAAACCAACTGGCCCTGCACGATGAGAATCATCTACCAAAGCCAATTGCCCGTGCTGCGCCGTCTCGAGGTCTCGAGGTTCTTTTTGTCGCCGGATGGCACGGGGCCGGGCGACAAGACGTGAGCGCTTTCACGTGTAATTCCATGCCCCAAATCGAGTACATTTTGCGCATGGATCTGGGTATAGGTAGGGATTGTCCAAGCGAAGGGTCCAAAAGGGGGATCTCTGGCAGCTTGGTCGCGCCAAACCCCAAAGGATGATGGTGATCCCTCCTCCATTCGTCTTTTTCCTGCTCCTTGGTCAGGGGTTGGCCATGTGCGGGGGGAGCTCAATTGGAGCCTCGGTACGGAGGAATCAACCCCAACCCGCGTCACGGCTCGTCTTGCTCCAGTAGCCAGGCCGGTGATTCTGTCTGTTACTCGACGAAGGTAAAACTGCTGGCCCAGGCTGTTGGAAATGCTTGGCAGAGGCGGAGACTATTTCTAGCCAGCCCCCGGTGGCGGTCGATTTCTGTTCGAGGCAATCGATGGTTCCTATCCGACGTCCAACGAAGCGGCAACAAGGACAAGCAGCTCGCGAACCAAGTCACTCCATTGCGATGTGGGGCGGAAGCCAAAATTCAAGAGGGAACGGAGTTGAAAGACTAGCCCGCCAGTGTAATCGGTTGGAGTGTGTGAAGAATTGACCCGTCATCCCGTGTGCGGATGTGGATGTGGGTGTGGGTTGAGAGTTGTGGGTTTGGAAGTGCTGGTGGATTTGACACGCGTGGGTTTGAAGAATCAAGCGTCGGTGCATCACCAGTCAGCATCCAATCTAGCCTTGTGTCTCACGTCAGTGACCACTCTGGTTGACCAGCGACACATTATGTAAACATGAAGCGATACCTATCGCGTGTCCGAATTTAATTTTTTTTTCCTTTTTCTCCCTCTATCTTTTGCAGTTCCTGTCATGGCACTTGAGGGGCTGAAGCAAAGAGAAGAGAAATACCCTCGCCATGTTTTCTCGTGAAGGCCTCACCCTCGACGTCGTGGCCGGAGCAGTACGGAACTGGATCCTCACTCCGACGACAATGCTCCCGCTGGCCTTGGGCCTGACATGGGAACCGCTCTTTGCTCGACTGGCCCAACGGAGCTCGCGCGATCGGGCAGCAGCCATCCGCTCTCGAGTCTACTGGCTCGCCGCCGCAAGTCTCGCCCTCGCTCTCAACGACCAGCTCAACAAGCAAAGCGCCAACAACTGGGTCGTCGACTCCCGGTGGAACTGGGACGATGAGATTGTCGTTGTCACGGGGGGGAGCAGCGGCATCGGCGCAAGCATCTGCCAGAAACTCGTCGCCAGGAACCCTCGCACGCGCATCGTCGTTCTCGACTACGTTCCGCTGTCGTGGGCGCCGCCGCCTGGCGCGAGACTGCACTTCTACGAGTGCGACTTGAGCGATGCCTACGCCATCAAGCTTGTATGCGACCGCGTCAAGGCCGAGGTCGGCCATCCTACCGTCCTCTTCAACAATGCCGGCTTGGCCCGGGGGTCGACCGTCATGGAAGGGACGTCCAACGACGTGCAGCTCACCATCAAGACGAATTTGATTGCGCCGTTTCTCCTGGTTAGGGAATTTCTGCCGGAAATGGTGCGCAGGGACCATGGCCACATCTTGAATACGGGCTCCCTGAGTTCCGTCGTCTCGGCCCCTACCATTGTCGATTACTCTGCTTCCAAGGCTGGCTTGACGGCTTTGCACGAGGTATGTTTCTTTTTTATTCAGCACAGGGGAGCTTTATATAGCGATACTGCCATTGCCCAACACTCCTGCCTCTCCTCACGCTGCTCACTTTTTTCACAGGGCCTGCAACTGGAGCTCAAGAGCCTGCATAAAGCCCCTAGGGTGCGTCTTACGCTGGGAATATTCAGCTTCATCCGCACGCCTCTTTTCACCGGCAAGACGAATGAATCCAATTTCGTGGCCCCGCTGCTAAACGTGGAAACCGTGAGCGACAAGCTCGTGGATGCGGCGTACAGCGGCTACGGCGGCACCATCTATCTGCCGGGCATATGCAGATACATCACTAGCTTGGTACGTCGACCTCTCCCGTCATATTTTCATGCCTTGTTAAGCATCTGCTAACGCTGGGCGCGTATGTCTTTGCAGAAAGGGGGCCCAGAATGGCTCTTCCGGCGTATTCGGGAGCGCTCGCTGCGGGGTGACTATGATTTCGAGAGACAGAAGAGCCGCTATGACCAGGAGACTGGGAAGCGCATTGTGCCGGCCCTTGACCCGCTCAAGTAGGAGTGTTGACGGAGAGGAAACAAAGGTGCCTCGGGAATAATAGTGATGAGAGTGCATGAGTATATAGGCGTTAGGGGGGCGGCATCATTGGACATTTCTGCTAACATGACCGAGATACAATACTTGGACGAACGGCAACTTGGCCACACAATATTGATGGTAGCCTCATGTCATTACAAGAGGCACTTGGTTGCCAACCCCAAGTAGACAACAACACGCTGCTATACATGTTGGTGTAGCGAGCGATAACCAGGCACCGAGTCGCCTATTTTCAAACTGTCACCAGCTCCAGGACACAACCGACCCGGACACTTGGACGTCTTCGCGCCCCGAAGCGGAGGGTTGGTGAAGGAGTAGGTATGTGGCGTGCCATTGAACGCTGTGGTCTGTGGACCTCGGCATGTCGAAGAAGAACCCATGGCGGCGCCAATCAACTAGCTTCTCACCTTCGGCTTGTTACAGTTATCAGTGATGGCGTAGTAGCCCGTTTCGGCTATCTTGCCTGGGCAAAAAGGCTGTTGCCGTCCCCGCAAGTTGGCGTATTCGATATGCGCTCCCATGGAACCGCGCCGCGACCATCATGTCGTGTGTCGCAAACCAGCTCTTGTCCTGGCATTTTGGCCATTTGCCAACCGTTGAATCACATTATTTCCGGCGATCCTTGTTGCATGTTTTGACGGGTGCCAGGGTAGGGTAGGCCGAGTTTGCAGCCGGCTTCGTCAGCGTGCCATTACCGACCGGGCAGTCATCTCGGCAAACCTCCCTCCGCGGCTTCTCACCACTTCAGCCTCCCAACCTTCTCTCCCTCCCCGGAAATCGAAAACGGCTACGGCGTACGGAGTAGTCTGCTGTCAATTTGCTGAACGGAAAGTTGGGGTTGCCCCGCCCCAGTTCCCATCGCCTTTCTCCGTCTTCTCATTCGAAGGTCAATCCCCCTGAACCCCGTCAAAATGTCGCGCTAAATAGCCACCATACCCGAACGCCGGACTTTTCGAACAGGCTACCGGGTTACTAGTATCAGACGTGAGGGGAGCATTTCAAGTGGCTATAATCTTACCTGCTATTTAATAACAGAGCGAGCCCAATCGAATAGACCTGAGCTTTTATATAGTGTTTTCTGACCCGCGTCGACTGGCAAAGTGCAAGCTTTGGACTGTTGACACACGCCCGACTCCCTTTTTTTTGGCATGTGCTTCCTGTTTGTATATCTCTGCTGATCATAAAGGGGTGGCTGGCCGAATGTCCACTGGGTGAGGCATAGTAGCTGTTCGCCGTCTGTCGTCCCAACTCACAGTCGCCCATCTCTCCTAGTTCCGTGCCGACAATACTTCACTTTCTACCTCTATTTCTTCGTCGTCTTCGTACGCTTGACTGCGCCTCCAAGTCGTCATAAACACAAATCATGGGCAAGACTACCCCCACATACAGCCAGTTTGGCTGCATTGGCTCTGGCTTTTCTGCCATTGGCCTGGGCGCGACTCTGAAGCGATGGTACGGCATCACCGATATCCAGTTCTTCGAGAGGCACTCCGACTTGGGGGGCACTTGGTGGGCGAACAAATACCCAGGTGAGCCGATTGCTTATTCTACTTCTGCTTTGCTCTGTGGGATGTACTGGTCTTCTTCTGTTGCCAACTGTCCGCCGCACCGTCGAGCTACCAGGCTGATTCTGATTCACCTTGTCAAGGATGTGCCTGCGATGTTCCCAGCATCCTGTACAGCTTTTCCTTTGCGCCAAACCCCAAATGGAGCCAAGTTCTCGCCACCGCCGACGAGCTCTGGCAATACTTGAAATATGTCGCCAACCAGTACGATTTGGAGAGCAAGATGACGTTTCGGGCAGAGGTTTCCCGCTGCGAGTGGAGGGAACAGACGAAACGGTGGAGGATGTACATTCGAAACTTGGACACGGGCGAAACCCTCGTCCACGAGTGCCAGTTCCTCTTTGGCGCTACCGGACTCTTGGTGAAGCCTAGACCGTGCGATATCCCCGGCGCCGACTCCTTCAAGGGTCCTCTGTTCCATTCCGCCGAATGGAGACAGGACGTGGACGTGACGGGCAAGAATGTCGTCCTGGTAGGCAACGGCTGCACGGCGTCGCAAATCGTCCCTGCCATTGTCAACAAGACCAAGCATCTGAGCCAGTTCGTGCGCTCCAAGCACTGGATCATCCCGCCCATCAACGTCCCATACACCAAGTTTTGGCAGACCCTGTTCGAGCATGTCCCCGGCGTGCTTGCCTTCTTCCGCTTCAGCATCTTCATGTATGCTGAAAACGACATGAGAGGATTCTTCATGACCAAGGCCGGCGAGGCATATAGGAAGCACTACGAGGGCGTTGCCACCAGATACATAAAGAAGACCGCCCCCGCCAAATACCACGACATGCTGATCCCCGACTTTTCCCTGGGGTGCAAGCGGCGGATCTACGACCCCGGCTACTGCAAGGCTCTGCACGCCACCAACTTGACTGTGTCGCAGGAGCCCATTGTAGAGATTGTGCCGGAAGGTGTCCGCACCAGGGACGGCAACGTGACCGAGGCGGATGTCATTGTCCTGGCCAACGGCTTCGACACCAATGAATTCATGGCCGGCATCGAGGTTGTCGGCAGAAGCGGCAAGACCATCAATGAGCATTGGGAATCCTGGGACGGGCCAGAAGCTTACGCTTGCTCGGCTCTGAATGACTTTCCCAACTTTTTCATGCTTCTAGGCAAGTTGCCCTCCCTTTTCCCCCCTTGTCCCTCAAGAGTTTGTCACGTTTGATGGGGGAATATCGCAGACGTACTTATACGGGAGAAAACTGTAGGTCCCAACACTGCCACGGGTCACACATCCACCATCTTGGCTGCTGAAAACAACATCAACTACGCCCTGCGAGTCATCAAGCCGGTTCTCGATGGAGAGGCCCAGTTTGCCGAAGTAAGGCGCGACGCCGAGGAGAGGTACTCGCGAGAGATGCAAGCAGCGCTCAAGAACACTGTTTGGTTCTCGGGCTGCCACAGCTGGTATAACAAGGAGGATGCGGACGGCAACAAGTGGAATGCCATGACGTATCCCAAGTTTCAGCCGCAATTCTGGTGGGAGAGCATGTTCCCCGTGTACAGCGACTGGATTTATGAGGTAGGTACTTGTCTATTTTTAGTTTTTTGGAATCATTGCTCTCGTACTTTATTTGACGCATGTTCGCTAACAAGAGTCTTCCTCACCTCAGCCTACTCCTGCTGCCGCTCGTTTGAGAGCCCGACGAAGGTTGTTGGGCCTGGTGCGGTGGGCGTTGGTGTTTGTGACCGGTTTCGGGGTCAGTCTCGCGGCGAGGAAATATTGGCACATTTTGTCCCAGCTTGGGCCTCTGACTAGGCTTTCTATCATGCAGCTGAGACAAAAGTACAATGTTTAGAGCGCATTTGCCTTTGTAGTTGGTAGACTGAGCTTGCTGTTCGATGACTTTTATGGGTTTTGCGGCTTTGGCGTTGAAGATATGTTGGTGATAGCTGGCCGTGATACATTAAGATGAGTACATGTTTCCCACGCGGTATGGTATGTGTAAGATTCATAAGTGAAGTCTGCCAAGTGACTGGTCATGGACAGCCCGAATATGTTGTCGAGATGTGCACATAGTTACCAAGCAGTCCATGTGCAACAGTCATACTTGGGAGATGATTAGCAGTGAAGTCGGCCGAGTGGCTGGTCGTTGACAGCCCAAACCATCGGTTGTAACTGGCCAGTCCACGGGGGGGCAAAATGGCATCTCGGAGTCTCCATTCTCCATGGAAACTAGGACTCCCCACACCACCTGGCATCGGACAATGAGCTGTCAGTCTAGCCAGGTTTCGGGCGTCGGCATCGTCGACGGGTTCAGAGGCTTTTGGGATGTGAAAGGCTGCATGTGGAAACATCAAATTGAGCGTGTCCCCGGCGGTTCATGGATTTCGGGCTAGTGGCCCACTAATAATGCCCTGTGCCAAGAAGGAAGGCGCATGTCGCTCTGGGGCTTCGGCTCAACGACAACCGATCGACTTGTGCTTTCAACCGTCCTGCGGCCCTTCACCCTGTCAAAGCTTCATCTCTGGCTGTGCACTATCATGGGTTCCAATTATTCCATAACGAACCCTCGGGAAGTAATTGACTTGTTAACACATAGGAGCTCGCACCGTCCACATGGTACCTCAGGGCAAGGAACGCCAGCGTCGCCGCAAGATAAGTCTTGCATGTGAGCCGTGTCGCGAACGCAAGTCACGATGTGATGGCGGTAAGCCCATCTGCTCCATGTGTCGGCGACGAGCACTAGGGTTAGAAAGATGCGTGTATAAGTTGGAGAATGCGAGGACGGCCAGCACAGATGAGTATGTCTCTCTGTCCTGTTGGGCAGACTAGAATGCCAACACCAGCAACGCTGACATGAAACCCTGTCTGGCCTAGATATATCAAAGTCTTACACAGTCGTATCCGGAAACTAGAACAAGTCTGCAGGGACTCGCATGTCCAAGTTCCGTCGCTAGACTTTGACCTTCCCCCCATTGCTGAAGCAGAGACTGAAGCCGACACAAGGCAAACACCAACATCCACGCCAATCTGTTCGGACTATAGCTTCTTGCGGCTGACGCCCACCAAGGAATCCTCGTCAGTAGACTCGCCTCTCGTGCAAGCCCAGCCACCAAACACGGCAGCCTCCGCAGACAACGGCATCGTCACCGCCGAACCAAACAGCAGCGTCTCAGCCATGGGCACCGTTATCACCGATGACGACGTTTCCGTCTCCGAAGACTTCTACGGCAGTTCCTCTACAGCCTCGTTCTTCAAAGAAGCCTTCGACTCCATGAAGGACCACAAGAAGCACCATCACACGCAACCCCGGCGAGAAGCAGGCCGCGATTGGCGCCGCGGCTCGTCCTACTTCGTGCCCTCTCATCAATTCTCCCTGCCGCCTCGCGACCTCGCAGACCACCTGGTCGCCACATTTCGTGAAAAGGTCTACTACATGTATCCGTTCTTTCACTTGCCTTCATTTGAGGCTGCATATCGCAGTCTCTGGAAGCCTCAAGCCGAGCCAAAGCGTCCTTCCACCTCTTCACCAACCAGTCTCGGGCTGGGTTGTTATCCTGACGGTGACGCAAACACGATTTCGTTTCATGCTGCACTGAATGCCATTTTTTCACTTGCGTGTCATTATTCGGACCTCCCGCCCGCCGAGCGACTGGCCGCCTCGACGACGTTTTTCCTCAGGACAAAGCCCTTTGTGAATATTGATCTTTTGGAGGCGAATAATTTAAGTGTCGTACAGACCTTGTTGCTCATTGCGTTGAATTTGCAGGGCACGCCGCATCCAAGTCGGTGCTGGAATGCGAGCGGTGTCGCATGTAGAGTTGCTCAGGGGCTGGGTTTGCATGCAGAGCACCATCAGGACACGAGGGGCGCACTGGAGAAGGAGATTCGGAGGAGGACCTGGTATGGCTGTATTGTAATGGATATGTGAGTTTCCACCGTCATGGCTGGTGACTGTGTGAGACTGAGTAAGCTAATGAACGCAAATACGTGTGCGGTGAAGGTTGGTGAGCATGACATACGGCCGCCCGGCTATGACAACACACATTTCAGTATTGCCGCTCCCGTCCGGGTTTGAGAAGAATCTCTCGGTGCCTGTGGAGCCACATCAGGTCGCACCTAGATTTCGGTTCTACAGAGAAAACATTCGCCTCTGCGGGATACTGGAGGATATTCTATCCAAGGTATACCAGCCGTGGATGAATCGCGTGTCGCCTGATCTATCTCCTATCACGGGCGGGAATACCTCGCCGTATTACAGCCTCGATACGATTGTCATGCTACATAGGAAGTTGTCTGATTTTGAAAATTCCGTGCACGAGACGCTTTCGTGGAAGAGAGAGGGAGAGATTCCGTCTGAATATGCTGCGCTGTTTAAAGCTCAGAGACTGCTGCTTCATGGTCGGTATGTCTTGCTACATGTCTCAAAAAAATTCACATTTTTTTTGGCAACCCTATATTGGAGCGATTGTGGTAGGCTAATCAGAAAGACAGTTTTATATATCTTCGCATCATGCTGCTTCGACCCATTCTAACACACCTCTCAACACACGAGCAACCAAAATCCGTAGGTCCCAAGCTAGAATCAACTACGTTCACGGATCCTATTCTAGCAGGGACATCGCTCCAATGTGCGAAATTATGTGTCGAGGCGGCGATAGATTTGTTGCGACTACTTCATACCAATTTTAATCCACAGGTTCCAGGGTCATGGTGGTGGGATGTCCTGTGTAGGTGTTGCTCGTCCAAACTCTTTTTTTCACTTTTGAAATTCTAGTCGCTCATATTAGATAGATGCCTGCACGGCTGGCATCGTACTTATCATAGCGAGGACATGTCCCACCCTCGTCCCGTCACTCAATCAAGCCCAAATGTCAACGGCTTGGGACGAATGCCAACAGATTCTGAAGCATGTTGCTTCGTTCAACGCGTCTGGGCGACAGTCTCTCAAAATGCTTCAGATCATCCATAGTAAAGTCTTGGTTAAATCAGGAAGTACGTCCTTTCTCATCCTCATCCCACGACCCCCATTTGCACCAATTTCTTTTCGACAAACACTGACGCCTTCAAGGCAGCCCAGCTAGTCCCAACCTGCGACCCCAAACCACTCCAGCGGCGGAAGAATGTGATCTGTTGCAGTCGGTGGCGTTTGATTCCGCGACGAATTTTGACTTGTCGACAGAACCTGAGTTTCAGGGTTTTGGAGATTTGGATATGATTGGGTCGTTTTTCAACTGGGATACTACGAGTTTTGATGCGTTTGGGGGAGTGCCGATACAGAATTAAGTTTGATGGACTGGGCTGTTTATCTAGCATAAGGAGCGTTTTTGCGTTAACAAATGATTATTTTGGGGATATTTTAGTGGCCATGGTACTATACATATTGCATCTAAACTTTGAGCTGGACACAATTTCATCAAGCTTCAGACCACTTCTGTTCCATATGAGTCAATACGGTATACGCAGTCTACTGTTCTATAGTATACATCAATGCCAATGCTCGAAAAGTACATTTTACATCCCCCCTAATTTTCACTCTAGGCATGCTTGCCCGTTCCCGAAACCAGCAACACAACGCTGCCCAACTGTCTGCGCACATCCTCATTATTCACATCGTGCGTGTCTTCAACCTCTCCCCACTGTGTTACCTGCCAATCCACCTCCAGACTGACCGTCTTGGCGGCTTCCTCCACGCCAAACTGCACATGGCCGGACAGGTTGGGCTTCCTGACAGGTCCCTCGCTCCACTCGGTGATGAAGCGCGCCGCGGCGACCAGGCTCTTGCCCGCCAGCACGGCTCGCTCCAGCCCTGCCATTTCCCAGGGGCTCAGGCCAGACACCCACCCCTGGACGACTTCCCGCACGCCGTCGTCCTGCTTCCTGGGCATGATGGCGTGGCCGTCGAGCACGGGCTCCAGCCTGATGCCGGGCCAGACGTGCGTCGTCATGAACGAGACAATCTCGTCGGTCGTGCGCTTCTGCACGTCGCGGAGAGACTCGCCCGCGTCGTTGCGCAGGTCATACTCGCCCGCGGGCGGCGCCCAGCACAGCAGCGAATCGGTGTCGAGGTACCGCAGGACGCTGGTGGTGATGTCGTTTCGGATCGTGGCCGCGCCGGGCGCGCTCGACGCGTCGTCCTTTTCAATGTCCAGAGCCCGGCAGGCCAGTGAGGTCAGGGGGATGAAGTGCTGCTTGGTGGCCTGCAGCGACGACGTCATGGTGTCCCATTCGAGGGCGATGGCGAAGGCGAGGTTGGGCTTGGAGAGGGGCAGTCGAATGACTTCCTTGGTCTGCGGGTGTCGCAGCGGCCGTGTATCGAGGTGGACTTGGAGAGCGCCTGTTTATTCCGCCGTGGCCATTAGCGAAAAGAAAGAAAGAAGACACTGGGAGCGGCTTGCGGTTGAGTGAGAAACCTACCGTCTACTTCTTGCACGCTGACATCCTTCCAAAACCTCTTCCGCAGGGCCGTGGTCTTGCCATCCTTTGCATTTCTTATGACTTTGGCTTGCTTCAGCAGGTCGGCCTGTTTCCGCCGGCGCTCGATTCGTTCGTTCATGTTGCGAACGGCTGCGGTCGGCGGCTCCGGTGGTGGCCCGGTGCCGAGGACGGAGGCGACGCTGGCTGCTTTGTATGTCGTGGCATGGAGAGGACGGGTGTGGATGGGCGTGCTGATGATGCGCGAGACCGCCCGCAGCGGCAATTGGGTGGTTGGCCGCATGATGGTGATTGTGGTGTTGTGTTGATGGGTTTGCGGGTTTGATGTCAGAAATTTGGCATGGAACTTTGGCTGGTTGAAAATGATGTAAGTCGGTCTTCAGGTTCAACGGACCGTGACCCACTTGGACACGCCACATGGCCAAGGCCGACGAAGAGTGTGACGTGGGCAATGTGCGGTGAGATATTGTAGGTCTCGATAAAGGCGTGAAGTGTCCCTATTATCGGTCTTATATACCTAGGTAGTTATACAACATTGAAATATTTATATTTGAAAGTCATCATGTTTGCGGTGGTCTATTCCCTGAGCGTGAATGCGTCAGGGGTTTGGGTCGACGTAGCTTTCTGGGTACTACGGCATTACCGATATCAACGTTTCGGACACTGTCCACTCAGATTATCTGGGCCACGCATCTTCAGCCTCTGGCCGGCAAATTGGGCGTAAATTGAAGTTTATTTTATTTTTTATTTTTTTCACAATGAATTAAGCCAAATAGCTAGACACATTGCTGCAAATGCCACATGCCCAAACATTAAACCTGGACCAGGCCCACCAATTGTCTGGCACGTCGACTACGACGAAAGGTGGGGTATCACGTGAGAGGTCCGCCCCCCATCCCTGAGACTCCAAGTGCCAACGTGGTTGATTATCCAGTGCTGGGCTTGAAGCCAAGCTGGACACCTCACGACCAATCCTCCTCCGACGCAGCGCCCAAAATGAGCTACGGCAAGAAGGACGAGGACGCCGACCTGGGCCTGGTCAAGGTGGACCGAACCCAAGTATTTCAAGAAGGTGAGTTGGAGTCAATTCGCCTGATTCCAATCTGGCGGTGCCCGCCTTCTTCTGCTCCCTTTGTATAACGTCTAATGCCACATTGCAGCACGTATATTCAACGAAGGCACCATTCAACCGCGACGATGCCGAATCCTACTCACCAAGATTGCTCTTCTCCTCTACACTGGGGAGAAGTTCCCGACCAACGAAGCGACTACCCTCTTCTTCGGAATCTCCAAGCTCTTCCAGAACAAGGATGCCAGCCTCAGACAGATGGTCCACCTCGTCATTAAGGAGTTGGCCAGCTCTGCCGAGGATATCATCATGGTTACCGCCACAATTATGAAGGATACTGGTGGCAGCAGTGATGCCATCTTCAGACCCAACGCTATTCGGGCCTTGTGCCGCATCATTGACGTTTGTGCCCCCGAATCTCGAGCGTTCCGCAAATGTCCAAAACTAACCCCCAAAAGGCCACCTCTGTCCAAGCGATCGAGCGAGTTATGAAGACAGCAATCGTCGATAAGAACCCCTCAGTCTCGTCGGCCGCACTAGTCTCGTCATACCACCTGCTGCCCGTCGCCAAGGACGTTGTTCGACGCTGGCAGAGCGAGGTTCAAGAGGCCGCCGCCTCGACCAAGTCCTCTGGCGGATTCTCACTCGGATTCTCCTCGTCAAGCAGCCAGATGCCCATGAACAATTCGACAATGTCTCAGTACCACGCTATCGGACTGCTATACCAGATGCGAATGCACGACAGAATGGCCCTGGTCAAGATGGTGCAGCAGTTTGGCGCTGCTGGCGCTGTTAAGAACCCCGCTGCCACGGTCATGCTTGTCCGACTGGCTGCTCAGCTTGCTGAGGAAGATGCTTCCCTCCGAAAGCCCATGATGCAGCTCCTTGACGGCTGGTTGCGCCACAAGAGTGAAATGGTCAATTTCGAGGCCGCAAAGGCCATTTGCGACATGCGCGACGTCACCGATAGCGAGGTCAACCAGGCAGTCCATGTTCTCCAGATGTTCTTGACTTCTCCCCGAGCCGTGACCAAGTTTGCCGCCCTCCGAATCCTCCACAGCTTTGCTTCCTTCAAGCCTTCTGCTGTCAGTGTCTGCAACCCCGACATCGAGCTCCTGATTTCAAATGCGAACCGATCCATCGCCACTTTCGCCATCACCACTCTCCTTAAGACTGGAAATGAGGCGAGTGTCGACAGACTCATGAAGCAAATTTCCAGCTTCATGTCTGAGATCACCGACGAGTTCAAGATCACCATTGTCGAGGCCATCCGAACGCTCTGCTTAAAGTTCCCCAGCAAGCAGGCGGGCATGCTGACCTTCCTTAGCAGCATTCTGCGAGACGAGGGTGGATACGAATTTAAGCGTGCAGTTGTTGAAAGCATGTTTGACTTGATCAAATTTGTTCCCGACTCCAAGGATGAGGCCCTGGCCCACCTCTGCGAGTTCATCGAGGACTGCGAATTCACAAAGCTTGCTGTCCGTATTCTACACCTTATTGGTTTGGAAGGGCCCAAGACTTCTCAACCCACCAAGTATATTCGATACATCTACAACAGAGTTGTTCTCGAGAATTCTATTGTGCGGGCTGCTGCAGTTACGGCTTTGGCCAAATTTGGTGTGGGACAGAAAGATCCTGATGTCAAGGCCAGCGTCAAGGTCCTTCTCACTCGATGCTTGGATGATGTCGATGACGAGGTCCGTGACCGTGCAGCTCTGAACTTGAAACTCATGGGTGAGGAAGATGACGAGATGGCGCAGAACTTTGTCAAAAATGGTAAGAGAAAAGAAGAGAAAAAAACTCTACGCCGATGACTGAGTTGGAAAATGAAAGCTAATTTCAACCTAGAAAACATGTTCTCTCTGCCAGTATTCGAGCACCAGCTTGTCATGTACGTCACTTCCGACGACAAAGGCTCCTTCGCAGAACCCTTCGATATCACCAAAATTCCCGTCGTCACTCGGGAGCAAGCGGATGCCGAGGACAGGACAAAGAAGCTCACAGCTACTGCACCCACCATCAAAGCACCCAAGGTCGGCGCTGCCAAGGCTCCTGTCAGCGGCGCCGAGGCTGCGGCTTCTGCTTCCGCTCAGGCTCAGCGATATGCCGAGGAGTTGATGCAGATCCCCGAGATGAAGGAGTTTGGCAATGTTCTCAAGTCTTCAACAGTCGTCGAGTTGACAGAGGCCGAGACCGAATACGTTGTGACCCTTGTGAAACACATCTTCAAGGAGCACATTGTTCTTCAATACGAAGTAAAGAACACCCTGCCAGATACAGTCTTGGAGAATGTGTCGGTCGTCGCTACACCCGGGGAGGAGGACGAGCTGGAGGAAGTCTTCATCATCCAGTGCGAGAAACTTGCCACCGACGAGCCTGGCAAGGTGTATGTTGCGTTCCAAAAGGTCAATGGAGAGGGATCCATGCCTGTTACTTCGTTCTCCAACGTGTTGAAATTCACAAGCAAGGAGATTGATCCGTCGACCGGGGAGCCGGAAGATAGTGGCTACGATGACGAGTATGAGGTATCGGAGTTTGATCTCAGTGGTAGTGACTACATTGTGCCCACATTTGCCGGCAACTTCAGTCACCTGTGGGAACAGATTGGGGCCTCGGGAGAGCAGGCAGAGGAGACTCTGCAGCTGAGCGGCATGAAGAGCATCGCCGGTGAGTGGATTCGAGATTCCCAAACGAATGAAGATGTTGTTGGTCAACTAACATGGACTCGTTGCAGATGCCACGGAACAACTGGCCAAGGCTCTTTCATTGCAGCCCTTGGAAGGCACAGACGTGCCGGTCAACCAGAGCACACATACACTCAAGCTGCTGGGCAAGACTATTTCTGGCGGCAGAGTGGCGGCCAGTGTGAGAATGGCGTTTTCATCAAAGTCTGGGGTGACAACAAAGATTACAGTCAGAAGCGAGGAAGAAAACGTGGCGGCACTTGTGATTGCATCGGTGGCTTAAAAAAAGCAGGAATGTCGGCGTTGAGGGTATTAATGCGTTGATGGTTAGAGCCTATGTCGGGGAGAAGAAGACGGTCACAATCGAATCGACATGCGTACACTATACAGGTTGCAGGAGCAGGAGTGACTAGATCATGTCCCATGTTTTGTTACATTGAGCCAGTAGATGACAAATGAGGAGCAAATGCACCATATTTTTTTCGATTTAATCACTGGACGTTGGTGAACAAGAGCGTTTTCTTTCTCCCTTCCTTTTTTTTCTGAAAGACGGATTTCCCCTGTGCGCAACTTGAAGCTGCAAGAGATTTATGTCATCACAGATCCTCCAACTTGACGACCTGGTACGCCGGCTCCTCGTAGGGATGCGCTCTGCGACGACGCGAAAAAGTCAATCAAATGGCCAGGGCACGAGCAAGCGTGCAGTCAGACGAGATGGACAGACAGGGCGGGCAAATTCATACCCCTTGAGCGCGGCGACGGCCTTCCTGGCCACGTCCAGCCCGAGGCACAGCGTCTCGACACGCACCTCGGGCGTGTGCTCGAGGGCGCCGACGCGGCCGAGGTGCGGGCTGGCCGTGTCGCCGGGGCGGAACTGGCCCGTGCCGGTCGCGGACCAGCAGCACTCGGTGTAGTTGCCCGGGCCGGGGTAGCGGCCGGCGCTGGCGGCGAAGATGGCAGCCTTGCAGGCCTCGACGGCGGCGGGCGGTGCGTAGAAGATGAGGCTGTAGCGGGCGATGGATGCCATGGTTTCTTTTTTTGTCGCTAAATCCTGGGAGAAGATGGGATGGTGTTGGTGTGATGTGAGCGAGGCGGGGATGGCGCGGGGACAGCAGATCGGTTGGTGGTTGTGCCGACCTGCGGCTTGATGCTTGCCGTGTAAGTAGGATGGGTGTCAACTGGCAAGGTGATATTTACACGGTACGCGGGGAGTATTTGTCCAGATGGATCTGGGCGTGTGTGCAATGTCCTGTGTTGTGCTTTTTGGCCTTGGGGCCGTGGATTTTGGCCGTCAACACCTCTTTCACGTATGGATGCCGTGTCAACCATTGACAGAGGGCGGCGGCGGTGGTCAGATTCCATCCCGAGGTTTGTATTGCTGCCATCTACTCTACACCCACACCGTTTCTCAAAGCCCCATAATCAACCGTCATGTCCATCTTTACCGTCAACATGGCGACCAGTCAGTTCTTTATATACGGTATCGATTCCCGAGGGGCACACCTCCACGCTTACTCCCTTGCCAGCAAACTACACGTTTTTCGAAGCAAGAGCGCCACGGCAACTATATACTTCCTTTTCTCCTTTTAAAACAAAATGGTTATGTCTCGTGCCCGAAAGTCAAGCCGGGTCTACTACTTGTGCCACACGTCGCTGGCCTCCCCCTCCGTCTGCTCGCCCACGTTGTCGGCAAACTGGCCCACGTAGTTTCCCACAGGGGCATACTTGCACACGACGTAGACGCCGCTGGCCTTGCCCTTGCCGCCGCGGCACGTGTTCCACCCGCACCCGAGCGACTGCGTGGCCTTCCAGACGACCTGCGTGAAGTGGCCGGTGTCCGGGGAGAAGCCCGGGTCCGCCCAGTTGTACTTTGTGCGCTCGGCTCCCCAGAGGTTGACGAAGCTGCCCCAGCTGGCGAGGCCGGTGCCGGCCGCGAGGTTCTCGCCGGCGCTCTGTACGTCGTGTCAGCTCTGTTTTAGCATGTATACTCTGTGCGTGGTTGGTGAGACCGAGCGCCGGGGCCGACTTACATCGTGGGACCAGCGGCAGGTGTCGGCCCAGTCCTGGGCCTTGCTCGCGAGGTTGCCCTTCCAGGAGAGGGGTTCCGCGCCGTGCTGGCCGCGGAAGAAGTTGTGTGCGGCGAGCATCTCGTCCTTGAAGTTGCCGCGTGGTCGTTGCTCGAGCTCCGCCGGTGCGGCCGTGGCCATGCCCGCGGTTGCGAGGGTGAGGATGCTGATGCTAGAGAGACGCATTTTGCGACAAGTCGTGCTGTATAGCCGGAGATGTACAAGTAGATGGTGTACGCTGTTGGTGGATTTTTCTTTTTTCACCGCTTGATTTACACAATTCTTCAGGCTTCATGGCAAGAAACGACGTCCGCTTTATACCTCGAGACGGGGGGCTGACCTCGACACGGCCACGAAGAAGACGGTGAGCAAAGGGAGCTCGTTCCGCATGGTTGGTTGGCCTGATTCGGCTGAGGGATGCCAGTCGGAAACTTCCTGCAGGATCTGTGGGAGGATGCGATGATCCTGGCCGGGCGAGCTGTGTGGTGTTTTTGCTGGCCGGGACGACGCCGGGTGGCCTTGGTGGCGAGAGCTTTTTCTGCAGGCCCCCCCGTTGGGAGTTTTGGCGGGAAAAGGGCCCGACAATAGTGTGTCTGAAACATTTGCTGGCGGCCCGGGGGGTTGGTTGGGTTCAGCAGATATTTTCTGTTCACAGAACAGTGACCGGAACAAGCTAGGGCCACGGGGGACGGGGTTGCACAAGCAGACGGCGAGGCTGCCGAGATGAAGGTGGCAGTGTCTTTGTGAGGGCTAGGAAGTTTCATACTACTGGTATATTAAGGATTATGCTACTGTCGTGCTGATAGAGAGAACGAGTCGAGGGTTCGTCGATTATAGACGCTCCCCCCTTTTGGTAGACACGTTGCCATCACCCATGGCAGGCGTGCTTGGTCGAGTCCTCTTTTTGTGTCACTGTCTTACCGTGAGTCCCTTCTCATTTGCCGCATGCCTGCTCTTCATAAACACTGCTGTTGACAACTCGGCTTCCCCGGCCTTGTTCGTCCTGGACGCATATACACCGACTACTCCGGGGAGACGGCACATGTCTAAACAACCTTGAACAATGCATTTCAAATAAAGCAAATACTGGATTGCTAGTCTGGATTTCCACCTCCACTGTTTCCCATTACCAAAGGTTAATATTGGAAAAAAAAAATGTGCTTACGCCTCAAGTCTAAACATCAACAAGTCCTTCCTCATGCCCAGTACGGAGCACGGCTTGGGCCGAACTACTCGACTCCCAAATCTACCCGATTTTCTCACTCGCGTGTTATGTAGGCATGTCTTGCCACTCGGACAGCAGCTAAAAGTGACGAATTGGAATTGCCACCCTCTTGGCTTGGGTACGTAGGCTTTGGGGCCCGGTGAGACGGTCATGAGGCTGGGATGGTGAGTGGTGACGGCGCGCTGCTGTGTAAGCACGATGGATGGAGGAGGCGTAGCACAAGGCTTTGGGAGTTCGAGGCTCGTCGCACAGCTTGCGTGTTTCTTGTAGTACTGGACATTTGTTGAGTATGGATTTTTATCCGGTGTCCCGGGGGATGACCCAAAGCAGCCGATACGTGGACTACAGACTGTTGTGAAATATATTTGCCTCCCACTGCATGTACCATGTTTGGACCACTTGGCAACAAAGCGTACAGACATACAGAGTAGATGCTAGTCCTTTTCGTTGTATACATGTGAATGCCATGGACATTCATACCGAGCACGGGAACAACGGACTTTGGGGTGGGCGCCACCAAATGGCCGACTTTGAATCCGGATTTGGTAAAACGAGCGGCTGCAAACTATTCCGTCCATCTCACTGAGAACGCGAACGTCAAGGTAGCCTCGTCCAGATTTGTTGTGCCCCAACATTTCGTCAAGTGGTTTCCCATGGATCACTTGCCACCACAGACGATCACGGGTCTAGTCAGGTCAAGTGCTGGTGTGAAAACCTGGGGCTCTGTCCAACGAATAGCTCATCCCATTTTCGCGGGGAGAGCTGCCGGGTTGCGCATGGCGTCGGCGGGAATATCGTCACATTCACTAAAATCGCAACAACCCCTACCCATATTTCTCAGCCCACCAGAAAAATGAAAGAACGACAAAAGATGTATATTCTGACAAATGAGGGTTAGTTATGTTTGTGCAAGGGAAAAAAAAAAGAGGTCGCGGGATGCATGCGCGTGGTTCGCAGCCGGGGCCACGTGCTGTATAGGGTAAGCAATGTGAGACGCGACGTCAACTGGTCGCTTTTGGCCATGCGTTGGGCGAATGAGGACGCTTTCGGTGGGTGGGAAACCGGATCTCGCAGCCAGCGAGGAAGGGAAACCACCGAGACAACCAGATTGAGCTATCCCAGAAGAGCAGCGAGAATCCGATAGGCTGGCTGGGGAAGACAGTTCAGGCTAGAAATGCAATGGCCCCAGTTGCCGTGCATCCCGTTGAACAAATTGGTGCAGGCAACCCTGGGTAAGCATGTAAGTAAGTAGTCGATTAGGCGCGCCGAGGCAGTGTTTGGAAATGGCTCCTTTGGCGTCGTCTTTGCCCATGTGAAGCACGGATTGCACAGAGAACGGAGGGGTTTGGCACTTGGACACTTTTGACCTTTGGGTTGGCGGGCGACGGATGCAGTACTAGTAGTATCGGCCATGCGAAAGGGAGCGAGCGACATGTCCCATGCTTCATTCCGCTGGTGACAAGGATCAAACGCCCGGCCTTGCTGCAGTTGGCGCCCGAAAGAGCTGGTGGTTATTGCGAGGTATGAGGCGCGAGGCTGGAGACGGAGATCAAGATGGTGATAAAGATGGGACGGAAGGTGCAGGTGCGGGTGGTGAGGTGCGCTTTGCCGCAGCGCAAAGGATTGCTTGCATTGCATTCCGTCACCATACCCCGTAACTGTGCTTGGATTTGTGCGCGACCCTTTCAACGTCTGAATTTAGATCCAGATGAAAATGAATAAAGGCACAGGGACTTTGACCCTGAAATTGAAACAGACTTCTGTTGGACCGTGTGAGATGAAAGCATGGCCGCCCTGCCAGTGTCACCCTCGCGTCCTGTCCAAGTCTTTTGTTGACGGCCCATTGTAGCAGTACTTGAGAGACCTCAGCATCGCTGCTAGCCCCTGGGTTGGCAGGCTCGGACAGGACTGAATGACCCCAAAAATTGCCCGGCTCCGTTCCATCTGCGCCAGGTTGGGCAGAGCGTCCCAGGTATCTGGGCGCCTAAAGTA